TGTGCACATGTGTGAGCATGTGAGGGTGTATGTGTGTTTGAGGGGGGAATGTGTATGTGTGTGAGCATGTGTGTTTGAAAGAGTTAGTGTGTGAATGTGTGTGAGCATCTATGTGAGGGTGAATGTGTGCATGTGGGTGAGCATGTTAGTCATTCTGTGAGTGTGTGCGTGTGTGTGCGAGCGTGTGTTTGAAAGGGTTAGTGTGTTAATATGTGTGAACCTGTGAGTATGTATGTGAGTGTGAGTCTAAGAGTGAAGAATGTGTGTGTGCAGAAGTGCGAGCATGTGAGGGTGTATGTGTGTTTGAGAGGGGAATGTGTGTGTGTGCGAGCATGTGTGTTTGAAAGAGTGTGTGAATGTGTGTGAGCATCTATGTGAGAGGGTGAATGTGTGCATGTGGGTGAACATGTTAGTCACTCTGTGAGTGTGTGCGCGTATGTGTGCGAGCATGTGTGTTTGCAAGAGTTAGTGTGTGAACTTGTGTGAACATGTATGTGAATGTGAGTCTAAGAGTGAAGAATGCGTGTGTGCAGATGTGTGAGCATGTGAGGATGTATGTGTGTTTGAGAGGGGAATGTGTGTGTGCGAGCATGTGTGTTTACAAGAGTGTGTGAACTTGTGTGAACATGTATGTGAGTGTGAGTCTGGGGGTGAAGAGTGTGCGTGTGCACTGCATGAACATGTGAGTGTGGGTGTGTGTGACCCCGCCCCTCCCCCAGCTATCTCTTCCACTTTGGGGTGGGGGGCGTGGTCCTGGAAGTCCACCCAAACTTTTTGAGCCCCTCGTCCCTCCTGGAGGAGGCTGAGCTCTTCCTTTCTCTTTGGGGGTGTTTCCGGCACCTTTTGGTTAAAGTGGGGTTGGGTGTTTGGTCACAGGCCCTGCGTCACCTGTGGCTCCCACTTCACTTCTCATGCCCCCCGCCACGCCGTGCACTTCAGGGGTGGCAGAACTCTTCCCTCCGGTGACATCTCACAGCCCGCCGGTCCTGGGCTTGCCAAGGTCCCTGTTGTGCTTTTCAGTTTCCCGCACAGCTGTGGCACCCAGCCTGATCTCCACGCGGGGCCTGGAACAGGACACAGTCGACCATGTTCCACTTCTTCCGGAAGCCCTCAGAGCCCAAGAAGGCGCCGGCGCCGGAGAGGGAAGCTGATGGATTCGTCCTTCTGGGTGAGGCTGGGCTCAGGCCGTCCCGTCCCCCTGTCCTTGCGGGAAGGACCGTAACACATCTCTAGGGTGCCGAGAGCGGGGCAGGGATTCAGGTGGAGAATAGAGTGGGTGCTTCGGAGCAATCGGAACCACCCGCTTATTGGCGGGGGTGGGGGGGAGGTGTTTAAAATGCTGCAGTAGACACGTCCGGGAGAGGTTCCGGCTGGCCTGGAGAGACGCCCAGGAGGAAGTGGGGCCTTGAGGAGGGCAGCTTCCTCTGCCTGCCAGGGGCCTGCTATGCACCAGGCACTGTGCTGAGCACTTCAAAGACGGGCTCTCTGGGATCTTCATCACCCCAAGGAGGGTCCCCATTTTACAGATGAGGACGCTGAGGCACACAGGCTAAGAGACTTGCTGGGGTTGCCCCACTGGTCTGTGTCTGAGTCTGGATCGGAACCCGGTCTTCCTGGCTTCGGGAAGGCATAAGTACAATGCTGACAAATACAAACGTTTACAAGTACGAGGCGGTTTTGGAGTGAGAGCCCCAGCATTGGGGGTGGGGGTCCAGAATAGGCTTCAGGTGGACGGTGGTGATGGGGGGCCTTCCAGGCACGGGGCATGGCCAGTGCAGAGGCGCCCAGACAGCAGTCAGAGTACTGCGTGTACTTGGAGAACGGGGGAGGCGAAGAGGCTGGAGAGCCGGTGGGGGCCAGGTTGTGGGGGCCTGAGCCGCCACATGGGTGCAGGAGGAGTGTCTGTGGGGTCCCTGTGAGCCCCCACGCATGATGCCCACTTTGGGAACGATAAAGGGGGTCACTGAGAAGCTGTCAGTCCACAGACAAATCCTTTTCCTTAGAAAGAGGGACAGGCACAATGTAGATTGAGAGATTGAACTTCTCATGCTTCCGAAGCATTATTTTTTTTTTAAATTTTTTAAATTAATGTATTAATTTTAGTTTTTAATGTTCACTTCCACAAGATCTTGAATTCCAAATTTTCTTCCCATCTCTCCCCTCCCCCCACCCCAAGATGGCATGCTTCTGAATATCCCTTGCCCTGATCTGCCCTCCCTTCTATCGCACTACCCCCCCTTCCATTTTCCTGTAGGGCAGGATGGATTTCTATACCTCGTTGCCTGTGTATCTTATTTCAAAGCATTATTTTCTTTTACATCACTGTTCATGACCGGTAGCTGTGGTGAAAAAGTACATCCCCTGTTTGTGTGCATATGTGTTTACACATGGATATGATATGCTCTCTAGATGTCCACCACGTACAACGGTAGTCATTCTTATATGTAACAACAGTTCTCATCCTAGGGCAAAATCTGTTTGCAGACTATCTCTGTAAGAAGCTCCAGTGTTCCTCAGTACTGTGAAACAGGAAATTGGCTCCCAGCTGATTTCCAGAAAGTCTTAAAAAGTAATTTCAGCTGGGACCCACAACGCACTAGTAAAGTCCTTTTTTCCTCTTGCTTTGAAGGTGACACAGAGAATGAGCAGAGAGCATCCCCGAGAGGCAGCCCTTCAGAAGAAGCAAAGCAGCCTTCCCAGGTAAGAGGCGGTGCCTTCTTCCCTGTGTCTTTGGCGACAAGTCTTTTTAGAATGGCAAGAAACAAGCTGGTGGAACCAGGCTTTCCACCAAGCTTGCTATGGGCCTGAAGACAGGGCTGGGGAAACAGGAGAAGGTCTTCTCCCTCCCTGTAAATGGGGGCCTTGCTGAGTACAAAAGGCAAGCGATGTTGGTCTTGGCCCATCTCAGTGCTCCAGGTAGGTTACCTGCCCCGGGGGATGCAGGTGCGCAGAGCTGCTCCGCGGAGGTGAAAGCTTTTACTGCTTTTTCCTTTCTTTTTCATAGGTATCTTTTCATCATTATTTCTGGGCAACCCCTAAAACTTGGGGTCTTGTTTCTTTTTACTGGGGTGTTTTGGTTCCTTTTCTGTTCCATGACGGCCTTTCTTCATTGGGCTGAGCTCTGAACTGCCCTGTCTGGTCATTTCCCCGCCTTTTTCTGAGAATCTGTCGAGGCTTTTTGCTTAGAAGCTTGACTCATTTCCGAGCTTTCTCTCTGCCTCTGGGCCCTCTGCTCTCTTGTCTTCTGAGAAGGAGGCCTGGGCAGGCCTGGGCCATTGGCTCCTTCTCCACTCGCAGCCTCCTCTCTTTATCCCATTGAGGTCAGTTTGCTGATCTCTTCCCTTTAGAGGGGAGGCCCATGTTCTCTCCTAACATCCCAAAGAAAGATGGGAGAGGTCCCAGCCTAGTGGGATAGAGGCAGGTACGTTGGAGTGGAGTCCCAATTCAGCTCTGCGTTTTCCTTCAGCGTTTATCCTGCACGGCCTCTTGCCGGGCGGTAACTTAAGGGAGGGCCATTCATATCATCGTGAAAGCTCTTCTCTCCAGTGAAGCCAACCTTTCTTTTCTTCTTTTAAATAAACAGACAAGTGATTGGAACTGGGTCCTTTAGAGACTCCCCAGTGCCCCCAATTTGGAATACCACACAACAGGTACTTTGCAGCAAATCGTGGCTGTGGTGGCTGTGGTGGCTGGGCAGCCAGAGTCACATCTAGAATTTGAGAGGACAGGGTAGAGGCCCGGCAGCTTCCTGGGCTTCCCGACTTCTTTCCTCTCTGTGGCTACCTGATGATTTGTGAAGGAGGCTGGAGGTGACGCCCCGCAGGGATGCATGGGGTGGTGATGGAGTCTGAGGAGCCAGGACATCCCTGGACTGTGGGTGGGTTTGTTGTGATGCTGAGGAAGGAGGCTCGCAGAGACGTGGCGCCGGCAAGCTGCCCATCGCAACCGCTCATTTCCTGCAGAAGACCAAGGTGAAGGGAGAGTTGTGTCCGTGCACGTGTATGTGCTTTGGTAGAAGGACCTTATATCCTCACCTACTTTAAATGAAAGTTGGAAGCAAAATTCCTGTTTTCCTAATGTGCTTATGCGTGTCTCATAATTGAAACCAAAGTGATTATCCGGTCATCATTTGTAGGGGGATGTCCAAGCTTGTGAAATACTGTCATCTAATCTCATTTAGTCAAGTCATTGTCCAAAACAAACAGGCTAAAATGAAGAAGATGGAAAAGAAAAAGAACCCCCCCCACCCTGACCAACTTTGTTCCGTGTGAGTGTCCTACATGACAGCCTGTGCCTATGGAGGCAGAGCTCCAGTAATCACTACCACGTGGGGGGCTGATGAGCCTGTGGTCCTCAGAAGGCCCCCAGCTGCCCCATGGCATTGACAGAGATGCCAGAGATCTCTCGAGCCTCCAGAATGGAGTGCAGGGCTCCCCTCGTCTCCCTGGTGTTTACTGAAGCAGCTCCGCCTTCTTTGGAATCACATTCCTAATAACAGCTGGCATGTTCTTTGGGGCCACTGTAGAGTGGTAGATTTAATAGGCAGCAGTTGTAACAATAACATTAATCACAATTGAAACGTGGAGAAGACATATTCTCTACTAGGTTGAATAGGTGTGTCGCAGCAGAACATCCCCAGTGGTCCCCAAAGACCCAGTTTCCTAGCTGTGTGGAAGGTGGATTCCTAATGTCCTTTGCTTATTCTTATTTTAAAAGAGGAAACAATGCCCTGGCTTTCTGTCTGGCTGGGCTTCCCTTTGGACCATGCCAGCATGTTTGGTCTCGAGTGTTGGTGACGCTGGGATATAAGGCAGACCTGGCCTCGATGCAGTGCTGGGGAGTATGTGGCAGAAAGGAGAGGCTCCAGGAGACAAGCAGGCTGGGCCTTGACTCCCAGGTCCGATTCTGGCAAAGAGCCCCGGGTTTCTTCTGTAAAATGGGGACTCCAGTCCCCACCCTACCCATCTGCTGGATTTTGGGGGGAGAAAAGATATGTGTACGCCACTGGAAGTGTGAAGAGATGTGGGTGAATCCCACATGGGCTTTTCAGCGGGGGGAACATAGCCTCCCAGAATATTTCAGAAAAGCATGGAATGCACCTGTTGGTGAAGTCAGGCTGGATTCTTTGGGCACCTGGTGTGTGTCCCACTTCTCCTGGGACTTCTCTCATTGATTGTCCAGAAAGTGAAGGAGAGTCCAACATGGAGGACCGGTGTCCTTGATCCTGACGCTTTGGGATCTCTCTTCAGGTTGAGCTGTTTTAGAGCCTCACCAGCAGGGACTCCTTGTCCGTCCTTCTTCACACAGAACCCCACGGAGGTCTGGAAGCCACCTGAGAGTCTCGGAATGCCTTCTGGGGGAGGAGGGGTTTACTTGTGTCCACTCTCAGTCAACAGAGCAGAGATGATTAAAGCCGTGGAAAGTGAATGGAAAATCAGGGCCCTGGGGGGACATTAAAGATGTGGGCCCTAGGAGCAGAATCAGCAGCATCACCTCGATGGCACGTGAAGGATCATTTTGTTTTTGTCTGTTTGTGTCTGTGAGGACCAAAGGGGAAGAGTAGCCTTGGATGACAAGAGAGAAGGGTTCTGGAGCTCTCGGCTGGTAGGGCTTTCCGATGGAGGGTCCCGAGTGCGGGGGGGTGACAGGGGACAGTCCTCTTCCTGGGCAGCCTGTTGGATTAGTGGTCAGTCCTGGGCTCCACAGCTTCGGGGAGACAGGGATAAAAGAGAGCCTGGCTCAGAGGAGGATGATTTGAGCAAATTGGGACTCTCAGCTTCTTGGTCAGGGATGTTGACCTGTTTATATCCCCAGCATCTTTGGGGGGGCGTCTGATGCACGGCGCCCGGCATGCGGTAGTCATTCAGTAAATGTGTGTCCAGTGATGGATTGCATGTGGAGCCTGAGAAGCCTGGGGGGAGGGGTTGATTGCCAATGGTTGTCAAGTGTTTGCAGGTCAGCAGCAGCATCAGCGCCACTTTGGGAGATTTTTAGTCACCAAAAGCTTATTGAATCACTTACATCTTCTTGGTTCTGAAGATGCTTTTTCATGCAATACAGAATATGTCTTCATATTTTCTATGCTTGCGCGTTCTCCATGGCTTCTAGCGTCACATTCTGTGATGTAAAATCATAGAATTGGCAGGGTGAGGCTTGGTTCCATATGGGATGAACCAGCTGTTCAGAAAGGCTGATGAAGGCTTACTAATTGATTACATTTGTCCTTTGTTTTCAGAGAGGACCAGTGACATCCCGACATTGTCAGGGCACAGCGTTCTGGCTGTGACCGGTCAGTCCAACCTGAGCCAGCAAGCCTGTAGCACAGGTGGGCCCAGGTGGTCTGGTAGAACTTTGGAGAAGGTGATGTCTCGTGAAAGTGAAAGGGGCTGTTGAGAGGATAGGATTCCAGCTCCTGGTTTGGCAGGTGTAGAACCAGGACCCGGGAGGGAAATGGACTTCCCAGAGTAGCAGCCGTGTACCTGGCAGATGGAGGCCCCAGGGGAGCATTCAAAGCTTGACGCTTGTCAGAGCGTTGGTTCTGGCCCATTCGGCAAAGTGATTTTCTCCCTGGGGAGGGACCAGGTCACAGGGCCCTCTGTGCATCCCGTTTCCCACTGCTCCCCCAACGTCACTTTCAATGACCACAAATACTGATATGAATCCACAATATTTTCTTTATCGCTGGTCATACAGTGAAAGATCTGTGCATCAGCTCCCCCACTTCAGGGCAGGGAAAGCCCCTGGGGTTCACATGATTGTGGCTGCCATACCAAATCCTTAACCAGAAGGACCTTGGGACATCTCATTCCCTACACCTAACAGTCAGTTGTGTAACTCATTTATTCACCAGGAATTCACTAGGTCCCTAGGCAGGGGTGGGGATGCTACGGCCTCGAGGCCATGTGTAGCCCTGTAGGTCCTTGGGTGTAGCCTTTTTACTGAGTCCAAGTTTTGTGGAACAAATCGTTTTATTAAAGTGATTTGTTCTGTGAAGTTTGGATTCAAAGGGCTGCACTTGAGGACCTAGAGGGCCACACAGGGCCTCAAGGCTGCAGGTTCCCCACTCCTGCCCTAGAGGGTGTCCCAGACCTTGGGCTGGACCCTGGGATGTAGAGAAAAATGAAAACAGTTTGTTTAGAGGAAATAGCACAAACACAGGAAGGAGACACAAAACACACACCAAGTCAGCGCAGTGAGATGTGACTCCCATTTCTGGGTGTGGTCTTCTCCTAGATCCCAGTATCAAAGGCGGTAAGAGGGAGAGAGTACCAAGGGAAAAGGGAAGAGAGCCCAGGACAGAGCCCTCGGGGCTCCCGCAGGGAGTGGACACTTGGAAGAGAGAGAGAGAGTGTGTGTGTGTGTGTGTGTGTGTGTGTGGGTGTGTGTGTGTGGGTGTGTAGATGTATGTGAGAGTGCACTGTAAGTGGGTGTGGGTGTGACATGCATGTGTGAGTGCATTGTGAGTGTGTATGTGGTATGTGTGGTGTGTGTATGAGTGGGTGTGTGGGTGATAATGGGTGTGTGAGAGTGCATTGTGAGTGTGTGATATGTGTGAGTACATGTGTGTGGTGTGTAGATGTGTGGTGTGTTACAGTGTGTGTATGTGTGTGCGTGCGCGTGTCTGCGCTGCAGCCAGTCCAATCCATCTGTGGGGAGGGGAAGCTGACCAGAGCTGCTCCTGGAAGCTGGTGTGGCCTTGAGGCAGCCAGGGAGGAAAGGACATCTTGGGGCCGGGGTGGGGGGCACCCCAGCAAAGGCACAGGGATGGCTGCTGTAGGAGCCGGGGGCCTGATGGAAGGGGAGGGCGGCAGCCTCCAGCGCCGAACCTTTCTCTCGCCCTGGCAAGTTGGCTTGTACGCGGCTGCTCCGGTTGGCTGCACGTGCCCCTTTGGTCATTGTACTGTCAGACACCGTGCCCAGGCCACTGCCAGTCTCCTCCAGAGGGCTCACAGCCTTGTTTACAATGTCCACGGCATGGTTTTTGTTCCCTTTAGGCAGATGTGGGAGACCAGCCCCCTGGCAGCACGTCGAGCCCTCCGATGGACTCTGAAGGTCAGACCGTGGAGAACAGTGCCCTCGTGTCGGAGCTGCTCAGGGACGTGCCCTTCACTCTGGCGCCCCATGTGTTGGCAGTGCAGGGCACCGTCAGCGACCTCCCGAGCCACTTACTGACCTCTGAGGTCAGTGACAACTTGTCACGATTTTTGTACGATTTTACCCTGGAAAATTCCGTGCTGTGTAACCCTTAATGGGTCGGCAGGACGAGGTGGGTGAGCATCGTAATCGCCAAATGTTCTTGTGTGAAACCTTATCTCGCTTAGTGTTTTCACGTGATTATTAATGTCCGAGGACCTTCAGAAATCACAAATTTTCACATGCATTCGTGTTGTCACCTTATTTTGGAATCCGCAACATTTACATCCAGATACTTAGACCAGGCTGGACTCTGCCTCTTCCCCCTGCAGGAGGGAGGACGTGAATGTGCTCCTCAATGTTTGGAAAAGCTGAGCGGGGAAATTCTTCAGCCGAACGTAGCGCCTGGCACACGGGCATCTCCGTGGCTCTGCGCGTTCCTGTCTGACACTACAAATCTCATGGCCAACGGCTGTGGTCTGGGGAGCTCCACGTGAATGTTACATCGGGAGAGAGTAGGGGTCTATCTCGGTGTCCACTCGCCCCGTGGTGGTCCCCTCCCGGGCCGGGCTGGTGACTGAAGGTCTGGGGGAAGGGCAGCATGGCCTGGCGGCCCATGAGCCCATCTGCCCCGCTCTTGAAACAGCCCCCTGCCTTTTTCCATTCCCTTACTGGGTTTGTTTTTCAAGGACTTTTCTCTGACGCTTCCTCATGTGAGAGAAGTCAGGAAAAGCCTAGTTTGAATCTGGCCCTCAGCACTTGCTTAACTGTTTGACCCTGGACAAGTCATTGCACTTCTGCCTGCCTCTGTTTTCTCACCAGTAAAATGGGGATAATAATAGCACCTTCCTCCCAGGGTTCTTATGAGAATTAAGTAAGATAATATTTGTAAAGTGCTTTGCAAAGTGCTATATAAATGCTAGCAAATGTTACTATTATTTTGATTATTGTTGTCATCACCACCTACGTCCCTGGTTTATACGCAGATCAGCTGTTTTGGTCAGCTTCTGTTTCCTAAAGAAGACTGTCTCTGGATGAGATGGATGACCAGAGATCATCAGTCAGGGTGCTGGCCCCGATGCAGACGGTTTAAAGGGTCCGTCTGTGCAAGCCTTGAATGGACCTGTTTCCCTCCACCTCCACTCCAGCACAACTGCCTGAGGCCAGCGGCTCCCTGGTGATTAACCTGGTGGTTGAAGGAATACTTCTGGGGCCCATGGCGCACATGCACATTCACTGACAGCGCCAAGTAAGAAAGGAACGCACGAACTCTTGCCTCTGCACCCCGCCCGGTGTCCAACTGTCCAGAGAGATGTGAATTCTTCACGTGCGTCGTGCTGCTTTGATCTGTGCTATTCAGCATGGAGGGAGCGCGCGTGTGTCTGCACTTGGTAGGAAACGGTGGCAGGCCAGATGTCTGTGCATGTACAAGAGAGCAGCATTATTTTATGAAAACTTTGCCCGGAAGATGGGACTGTAAAGGACCTGCTTGCTATTTGTATCACCAGCAGAAACGAGCATTATTTTTATAACATGTTCTTGTGTGATCCCCTTTTCTCACATGCCCCCAATAGATATATTTTTACACTTTAACCACTTTTCCTGAATGTTTTGTCAGATCTTGTCTAAAATACTTATGCATTTCATTTGTCCCTGTTATATTGTAAATTTGCTATTATTTGCAGAAAACATTTATAATTCTATTTAAATAAATGAGAATTAAAGTATGGAACATTAAGAGAATGGTTTCCTCTGTATTATTCAGCGTCTACATAGAGTGTGTGAGTTATCAGGTACTGAGAAAGTGAATAATCTGGTGTATGATACAGAGAAATGTAAAAGGCAGTCTTCAACAGAAGCAGCTTTTAAAAGAAAGCCCCCCCCTCCCCTAAGCAATAGGACAGGGAGGGAGACCGTGGGGGCCTCCTGGGGGCAGAGGTCACCTGCTTGGAGGTGCTGGTGGGGCCTTCCAAGCTGGAGGGGATGCTTCCATGTGTTGTAGCACAGTCAGTTGTGTGGAAAGCCTGGATCAGCAGGGCCTTTGGAAAGTGGGGTTCTAGATAAACACACTTGAGTGCCAGGTTAGCTCCTCTGACTGTCCCAAGTCGCAGCATTTCGGGGACTCGCGGGGAGTCTAGAGAGTGAGGCCACGCCTCTCACTTTGCAGTTGAAAAAAGGCAGAGTGAGAGAGGGTGAGTGGTGGGCCCGGGACCCCCCAGCTCCAGGGCTGCGTGGGACCTACCCTTCCTGCGCACCTTCCTTGGTAAAGACATTGGATCAGTAAGTTCCGTGGGTAGAGAAGATGGTGGCGGCACCCTCCGCGCTCTTGTGGAAGGTGGCGTTTCAGAGAAATGCCACAGACCTGCTGCTGTTGTGCCCTGGGCAGAGCAAAGAGAGGCTGGGTCTCCTGACGGATTGTGTGCTGGCCTTGCAGTGAGGAAGACCTGGGTGCGAATGTTTCTTGACACTTCCTGGTTGTAGGACCTTGGGCGGGTCTTTGAGCCTCAGTTTCCTCATCTGTAAAATGGGAATAACGATCCCTATGGCACCTTTTAACATAAGCCACAAGTGAAGTACCATTTGCTGTTCCTCACATGCCTCAAACATGCACTGCCGGTGTGGGAACTTAAAGACAAGATTCTCCTCAGGAAAGCTTCTCTGGTTTTCTTATTTCATGTCAGTGTGAGAGCATTTAGAACGACTCACCTGCTGTTTCCAGATAGCTCCTGCCCTGAGAATCGGAACAAAATAGAAGGTTCCGTGTCCCTCGGGCCAGTCCCTTGGACTCTGCTCCTCGGTTTCCTTCTTTGCAGCGATGCCCCCGAGGCCCCTTCTGGCTCTCCTCGATGACTCGACGTGTCTTTCTGTTCCTCCCAGCCAGGGCTTCGTCCCCCACCTGGGCACCAGTTCCCCAGCTGGCCCCCATGCCTGATGTGCTTCCCCTCCGCCTCATGGCACCTGTCCCCTCCCAGCTTAGACACCTCCTCCTGCAGGAAAGGGGCCTTTCCTAGTCCCCTTCATGCCCTGTCCACTGCTCTTGCCTCCCAGCCAGCCCCAGCTCGATCTTGGTCCTCTCCCCAGAGATGAAGGCTCGTGGCATCCTGGTGTGTGAGGGAGAGCTCTGTGCTCATGACACCACAGCCTTACAGCCAGGCCATCTGGGAGCCCAGAATCCGTAACATGAAGCACCCTGTGCCCAGAGGAGACAAGTGTTTTTAACGTGCAGCAAGAAAGCCGTGTTGACTCACGTTCCTAGAGGAAGAAGGGGTCTGTGCTCAATAAAGAAGGCATTTCACCTGTAAGCGGTGGCCTTCCGAATACCTGAAGACCAAGTCACTGATTTTTGTCCAGAAAGGTTTTTAATATTTTACCTAGTCAGCAATGACCCAGGGTGTGCGCTGGAACAAGGTCGATCTCATCAAATTATATCAAAGCAGAAGAACTTTTTTGTTTTGCCTTGGAGAGAAAACTGAATCTTGTTCTTTGTCAAGACTCTGCCCAGACCCAATTTCCAACCCACAAAAAGAAACCAATTCCTCACAATCAAAGGTAAGTCCAAAGATAATTGCCTGCAGATGAGCCCTGAGCCAGCCCCTACAGACCTTCTCAGCTACGAGCCTGCCCAGAAGCGGAGCCCACCAGTGGGCTTTTGCGCATGTCTGGACGATCCAGGGTTTTAAGCTGCCCGCTTTACCCCTCACGTGGCCATAGGTGCTGCGAGGGTCATGCTAGAAGGGAATATGCCAGCACCACTCGGTGATTTTGTGTTCACTGGTTTTCAAAAATACATGAGCTCGTGGGAAGGCCAGTCTAGCAGAGTAGCATCACCAAGCCCTCGGAGAGGGGGCTCCCCAGGAAGATGGCCAGCTGCAGGCTTCCTTAGCCTCTCCTCCCCCCAGGGCACCCAGCCTGAGGCCCAGGTCTGTTCACGAAGGGGATGCTGGGAGCCTCTGAACCCAGAGGTAGAAATGATGATGACTACAAAAGGAGAGGATACCTGGTTTTCATGTTCACAAAATGAAGAGATTAGGAAAGAAGAGCGACTCAGCTTCCTGTCGCCTGCGACCCAGCAGCCCTGTCCCGGGCATCCAAGACACAAATAGTGCCCAGTGGAAGCAGGAGCCATAAGCGCCTACATGGGGCCTGGCAGGGCAGCCTGGGCTTGGCATATGAAGGTGAAGAAATAATTTTGTGCAGGAAGAGGGGATGACATGAAGAGGAGACATTCTGAGGAGCCCAGGAAGATTGGCTGGACATCAGCAGAACCTGAGGAGCAAGGTACACACTGACCACAGCAGTGGGGAGGGAAAGGTCCTGGCGAGGAAGCCGGGCACTCAGGAACCGAAAGGTCCTCCCTTGGCTCTTCCCCAGGCCGTCGCCTCTGCAACACCTCCTCTCCTGCTGATCTCAACCCCCTCGTCCTGTCGCTGGTCCCGCCTCGCCAAGTCCCAAGCCTCGTTGCTCTGACCGTCGGCCTCTTTTGCTCTTACTCATGTGGATGACCAGAGCTGGAGAAATCATGAATCTCCATTACCTGGCCCCCCAACAGTTTGATGTTGGTTAACCTCAGGCAGACGCTCTCTCCTTCCAAATTCTTCTCTGCCCATTCACCATAGTGGCTCATCTCTTCTTGAGCTTCTGTCCATCTTGTCGGCCGAAGATCTTGTCTCATTCAGCAATGGCTCCCTCTTTCCCCTCATCTGTATCCCTGAGATCTTTCTCTGCTGTCTCCTTCACTCTTATCCCAATTGAAAAGGTGATTCTTTTCTTCCCTGAGGCAAACCCTTCTGTATACCCCTTCTGGCATTTCCAACAAGTGGCTTCTACTATAAAATATCCACTCTTTTATATACGGTCTCTCGCTGTCTACTGCATCCTTCCCTGCTGCTCACAAACGTGCCCAAGTCTTTCCCATCCTTAAAAAGACCCTCTTTTGAACGGTCCATCACCATCAGCTATGGCACTCTACCATCCCTGCCTGTCGTGGATAAACTTGGTGAGAAAGCTGTCTACACCAGATGCCTCCTCTTCTTCCATTCTCTAAGCCCTGGGCAGCCTGAAACTTTGTGCTCCAAATAGTCTAGTATTTCCTCGGTCCAGTCGCCTTTTGACAGTCCTGATCCTTCTTGGCCTTTCAATACTTTTGACCCCCTCTTTCTGGACACCCGCTCCTCTAGGTTTTTGGGACACTGTCCTCTGCTGCTTCTCTTCTCTGCCCAACTGCTCCTTCTTAGTCTCCTTGCTGGTTCATCGTCCATGACGGATATGGAATCGGGTGCCCTGCAGGGCTCTTTTCAGAGGCCCTGGACCATCTCCCTCAGTGCTCTCATCAGCTCCCAGAGGCTCAGTTATCATCCTCCTGCAGACGATTCCCAGAGCCATAATCCTGGCCAAGTCTCTCTGCTATGGTCATGCAAACCACATGTCCCGTCGGCATGCCATCCCATATATCCCAACCAAACGCATCTTCTTTCCACTCGAGCCTTTCCCCTTCCAAACTTTGTTATTTTGTTGAGGACACTGGGAAAATCCTCCCAGTTACCTTGGCTCACACCCTCAACATCAGCCTTTACTGCTCACTCTTACTCATCTCCCATGACCAATCAAGACCAAATCTCACCATTTTCACCTTGCCATCTCCTATATATCACGTGTGTGTGTGTATAAATATATGTGTACGTGTGTGTGTATATATGCGTGTGTGTATAGATATATGTGTATATATATGTGTGTGTGTATATATATATAAATATATGTGTGTGTATGTATGTGTGTGTGTGTATATATATATAAAATATGTGTATATATGTGTGTGTATATATGTGTATATATGTGTGTGT